ATGTGGATAGGCCTCTCTGCATGGGCCAGAGAAGTGAAGATATTTGTGTCTCCTATGAATGCTCACCAAAAGGTGACCTTGGCAGAGGAAGATTTTACAATTAAGTGGGTAGAATCACACATTCTGTGGAAACTAGTCATCCTCTTCCCTCAGACACCCCTGTCATTGCCCAACTGGCTCACAAACAAAGTGGTCATGGTGTCAGGGATGGAGGTTATGCATGGGCTCAGCAACATGGACTCCCACTCACCAAGGCCAACTTAGCGACAACCACTGTTGGGTGCCCAAATCTGTCAGCAGCAGAAACCAACACTGACCCCCCTATATGGACTATTCCTTGGGACAATCAGGCAACAAGCTGGTGGCAGGTTGATTACATCAGACCACTCCCATCATGGAAAAGGCTCAGTTCTATTCTTACTGCAGTAGACACTTACTCTGGATATGGATTTGCCTTTCCTGCATGCAATGCTTCTGCCAAAACTACCATCTGTGGACTTACAGAACACCTTATTCACCATCATGGTATCTCACACAGCATTGCCTATGATTAAAGGCTCACTTCACAGCAAATGAAGTGCAGCAATAGACCCATGCTCACGGAATTCACTGGTTCACCATGTTCCCCATCATCCTGAAGCAGCTGACTTGATAAAACGATGGAATGGCCTTCTAAAGACATAATTATGGCACCAGATAATTGGTAATAACTACATTTGTGTCAGTATTCTCTAGGGGGCTATATATGCTCTAAATCAGCATCCAATACATGGTGCTGTTTCTCCAAAAGCCAAGATTCATGGGTCCAGCAAGAAAGGGGTATAAATGATAGTAGCACCACTCACTATTACCCCTAGTGACTCACTCACAAAATTTTTGCTTCCTGTTCTTGCAACCCAATGCTTTTACGCCTTAGTTCCAAAGGGAGGAATATTCCCTTTTGAGACACAATACTGATCCCATTGAATTGGAATTTATGAATGTCACCCACCACTTTGGGATCCTCATGCCTCTGGATCAACAGGCAAAGATGAGTTACTGTATTAGCTAGTGTGATTGATCCTGATTACCAAGGGGAAATTGGATTGATATTACATAATAGAGTTAAAGAAGAGTATATCTGGAATACAGGAGATTCATTGGGATGTCTCTTAGTACTACCATGTTCAGTGATTAAAGTAAACGGAAACGGTAGCAGTCCAGTTCCAACATGATTACTAATGGCCTCAACCCCTCAGGAATGAAGGTTTGGGTCACCCCACTGGGAGAAGAACCATGACCAGCTGAGGTGCTTACTGAGGGCAAAGGAATACAGAATGTATGCTGGAAGAAGGTAGTTCTAAATATGAACTACAACCATATGACTAATTGTAGAAAAGACTAGTCAAATAGTTATGCTTTCTTCACTTATAAAATATAAAGATATAAGATAAATAGGGTTAGTGTGTTTTTGTTTGTATACATGTTAATTGTATCATGTTAAGTGCAACTATGACTTTATAATTGTCTTTATTTAATATTATGTATGGTTTAAGGAGGAACTCTGGTGATGTATTGTCTAAGGCATTTGACTGCTAACTAGAACACTGGTGGTTCAAACCCACAAGCCACTGCTCAGAAGGAAGACCAGGCAATCTACTGTAGAGATACCACCTCATAAATCCAAGAAGGGGTTACTATGAGTCAAATCAACTCAACACCAGTGAGTTTAATTTTTGGTATGGTTGAAGGATATGTGTATAGGTGGCAAGTTGACAAGAGGTGGACTGGGTATCAACTTAGCTGGGCCATGATTCTGTGGTTTGGCAGTTATGATGTAGTACAAGCAGCCAATCAGTTGAAGGGTAGTTTCCTTGGGGGTGTGGACTGCATCAAATATGTATAAACATCCAGGCAAAGCTCTCTAGATTTTGCTCACTCTGGATCCTGTATTCAACTCTCATCATCTCACTTCTGGTTCTTGGGACTTGAGCCAGTAGCCTGCCATTTTACTTGCTGATCTTAGATTCAGCGGCCTCCCAGCCCATGAGCCAGTAGCCTGCTGTCTGATCTGCTGATCTTTGTTCATCAGCCTCTGGAGCTACATGAGTCAGGTGAATCCTCCTGCCTGACATCTGACCCATCCCATGGACTTATGACTTGTCAGCCTCAACAACAGTGTAAGCCATTTCCTTGAGATATGCATATGTCTTTGTTCTCTAGTGCTACTATAAAAGAAATATCAAACAGAAATTTATTCTTTTATAGTCTAGGAGGGTAGAAGTGCAAATTCAGAGTGCCAGCTCTAGGCACTGAGTGAAGGCCCCTTGACCTGGGGCTTCAGCTCTGACTCTCGTTCCTTGTGCACTGGAGCTGGAGGCTTCTTCTAACTCATGCAGCTACTGGCTGCTGAGGCTGATGAACCCAAAATTAGCAAGTAAGATAGCACAATCCCAAGATAAGCAGGTAATATGGCAGGTCACTGGTTCAAGTCCAGGAACTATAGATAGAGACTCAGCCAAATGCAAGATCCAAATCAGCCAAAAAGCTAGAGACCTTTCCCAAAGTTTCTCCATGTATACTGGAAGCAGGCCACACCCCCAAAGGCAACTGAGTAACTGCTCACAGCAGATTTCACCATGGAGTTGATCATACTACACCCTATATCATCATGGGGAATAAATACATCCAACTGCCAGGCCACTCAAAATCACAGCCCAGCCAAGGTGACACACAACCTTGACTACCATATATATATTTACATGTATTAGCTTCTGTTCTGGTTACCTTGTGCTGCTCTGACAGGAATATACCACAAATGGGATGGCCTTAACAAACAGGAGTTTATTCTCTCATAGTTCAGGAGGCTAGAAGTATGAGTTCCAAGTGCCAGGCTCTAGGGATTAGGGGAAAGCCCCTTGACTTTGAGCTTCAGCTCTGCCTCTTGCTCCTGGCCCAGTGAAGATAGAGGCATCTCTTCACTCAGGCAGCTACTGGCTGTTGAGGCTAACAAGCCCAAGGTTGACAAATAAAATGGCACAGTCTCAATGTTATCAAACTACACGGCAGTCCATTAACTCAAGCCCATTTTAAGTCCCAAGGTCGGCAGAGCATTGCAGGCTGCTCAACAATGACATGGCTGCATGCAGGGTTCAAGCGTGCCATAAGCTAGAGACTATCCTCGAGGCTTCTCCTCATATACAGGAAACAGACCACATCCCAAAGGTAGCTACTCAGCTGCTTGCGGTAGATCCCACCATGGAGTTGATTGCCAGTCTCATCATGGGGAATAACTCCCACCAGCTGCCCAGCCACTCAACCAGGCCCAGCCACGTTGGCACACAAACATAACCACCACAGCTTCCCTGAGTTTGCTTTTCTAGAGAACTCAGCCTAAGATAGGTAGCATGAATGTTTTTAAGCTACTGAGCTGTTTGGGGTTGTTTGTCACTGCAGCAAGTTAGCCTATACAGACTAACATGGTTGCAAAAGGAAACCATCTTCAGCTGGGATTTGGAGGATGGATAGTATAAGATTAGAGGAGGGAAAAATCTCTCATGGGTGAAACTTTGATCCAGCAGGCAGAAAAAGGAATTGTGGCACAGTGATGTGTCTGTAACATCACTCACTATGGTCAGGAAGACCATGTTATTTGCAAAATTAATGCCATTAATTCATATCTCCCTATTTAATGGGGAGCCCTGGTAGTGTAGTGCCTAAGGCACTTGACTGCTAACCAGAAGGCTGGCAGTTCAAACCCACCAGCCACTCCTTGGAAGGAAGGTTGGGCAATCTACTTCCGTAGTGCTACTGCCTCAGAAACCCAAGGAGGGGTTGCTATGAGTCAGGTCTGACTCCACAGCACATAACAACAACAACTATTTAATAAGCTTTATCTTTTATCTAGCTAATATAAAGAATAGCTGCCTAAGATATTCTCACCTAGACGTGTGCATGTGTGTGTGTGTGTGTGGTAAATATATGCATAACATATTTTTTGCCTTTCAACATGTACAATTCAGTGACATTAGTTATGTCACTTTATGCCCTTAGTTATGAAAATCAATATGTACAGTATTAAATGTTAAAATATAACTTTGAGTGTACTTTTTTTCATTTCTAATATCATGTCATAAAACTTCCTTCCAAATAGCAAAGCAAAAGAACTGTTTCTAAATTGCATATTCTAGGTTACGTATATTAGCTTCACTGGTTTTGCTTTTCTAGAGAACTCAGCCTAAGATAGGTAGCATGAATGAGAAGTAAGACCTTATTGTTTTAAGCTACTGAGCTGTTTGGGGTTGTTTGCAACTGCAGCAAGTTAGCCTATACAGACTAACACTGTTGCAAGAGGAAACCATCACTTAACTCTAACTGCTGATGAACTAAGTACATGTAAACCGTTGGAACTCACAGACATCATATTGCTCTGCCCACAAATGGTAGTGAAAGGCAGCTCTGCTTACAGACTAGGACAAGGTGATGTCCATGACAGTTCTCTATTGCAGGGGAAAGGGGAAACAGAGCCTGTCTTCCCTACTACTCAAGTACCAGAATGTGGAGGTTCACAACCCCCAAGGGACACACACACACACACACACACACACACACACTTAATTAAGAGTCCCTCCCCTCTTTCCAACAGGGACTAAGTGCCTAGTTTTTTGTCATGCTCCACATGTCCTCCCACATAAGCCTATGTCCTATACCAAGTTCAGAGAGCAAAGGATGGTGAACTAAGACACAATTTCTGTTCTGATACAGCATCAGGGAGTAAGAGGAGTCACCAGCATCTCTGAGAAATCACTCACCCAGCCCATTTCCCTACCCAGCACCCAGACCATATGATTGTGAAATGGATACAACCAGAAACACAGTAGCCGTAGCTGCTACCATGGTAGTCACAGGAACTGATATAGCTTTATGCAGACTATTCCCCCACCCCTCACCAGTCCTACAAGAGTCAGGGTCCTCAGCTCTACAGGCCTCCATTCCCAAGAGCTCAGAAATATTGACCTCACCTGTATAATGATTCCTTTCTCTTTATATTCCACTTGGAGTGCCTTGGAAAACATGCGTACAAAAGCCTGGAGCAATGAAGAAAAAGATACCTAAGAACCAAAAGCTTGCTTTCTCCTGGTAAAGCCAACTTACTCAGATTTCAAATGGTACCACAAAAGCCTACTTGCTCCACCTAAAAATGCAGTAGTTTATCTTAACTGGAGTTAGTATTTCATTTTTACCAAGATGCTTACCCTGCCTTTGTCTGGGAAGGGTTCCCTCACATCAGTGAGAACATACATTTTGCAATAAATGGATACCTAGAGCCACTGCAAGGAGCCCTGGTGACACAACAGTTAAGAGCTGGGCTGGTAACTGGAAGGTTGGTGGTACCAATCCACCCAGCCTTTTAGCTGGAGAAAGACCCAGCAATATGCTCTCATAAAGATTATAGCCTAGAAAACCCAGTAGGGCGGTCTACAATGGGTCACTTCTGAGTTGAAAATCAACTCCAAAGCACGTAACAACAGCAACAGGGCCACTACATAAATCCTAGGTAGCACAAGCAGTTTGTGATTGACTGCTTACCAAAAGTTTGGTGGTTCAAATCCACTACCAAAAGAAAGGCCTAGCACTCTGTTTCCATAAATATTTCAGCCAAAAAATAAAAAAGAAAAATGAAGCAGTTCTACTCTGTAACACAAGGGGTTGCCATGAGTTATGAGTAGCAACGAGAACAGAGCCACTGTATACAAAATAACCTATCCAGCGAAAGCTCTCTCCTGCCTAGAACACATCTATCCTCTCCTCCCCATCCACTAGGGTTTATTTTGATAACTAAGCTGGAGACACTAGGCTAGGCCTTCAGGACTGAAGGATGATACAATTGTACTTGTTATCAGGAGAGCACTAAGGATTCCCAATCAAGGCGGTGCATACCGTCTGTAATTCCTCAGGGGGTGGGCTAGCCAAGCCGCACTGCTGCAAGGGCTTCTTCTTCCCAGATGGGGGATCTTGTCCTAATTTATCCAAAGACCCCTCTTGGCTGTTCTGCCCTATGCATGTAAGAATGTCTCCAGGCAAATCTTTTCATAAATTTGCCAGGTAATCCAAAAGAAAATGCCAATTAGGAAAAAATAGAGGAAGAAAGGACTTGGACTTCATGATGCCACTCACCTTGGAAGCTGAATACAGACTGTGTACAGGCCAAGGGAAGTGAGTAGCTCCAGAAGAAATGTTCAAGATGAGTCCTTTCTGCCTAAATGACAAATAAGCAAAATTTCAACTGGTTTGCTGCAGAAACTTGCTTTGTATAGAGAGAAAGCAAAGAGACTCACATGAACTTTCTGAAAATTCCCTTCTCTCTAGACTTGCAAGTATGTTAAGTGCTCTCTCTGCTTCCGAGAACTGTGAGTGGAACCACAGGCTAGATGACATCACTCTTGGCATTTCTTTGCACAGTAAGGGCTTGTTACTGGAAAGAGAGACCCCACTCCAACAAAGATCTCCCCACCAAGATACAGATAACAAACTCAGCTAGGAGATTCAGGAGGAATTCTCTCTCAGATATGACCAAGTGAGCTCGAAGGTCCCTTCTGACGCATAAGATAATCCACAACAGCAT